AAGATCAATCTTTGTATTGATATTATTATTGTATCTCTCTCAAATTACAAAATTACAAGAATTATTTCTTTGTGACTTGTGATCCAGGATTGTTGGACACAAGGGTTAGTGCTTGCAAGATGATTGTTCTTGCACACTAAGTTGTTGAAATAGTTATTAGATAGTAGGCCTCACCGATTGATGGTGTGATAGGTTGTACATTCTAAAACTATAGTGAAAACTCTCTTTCATGTGGAAAGGGAAGTGGAGTACCTTCGGATTGTGAAGGGAACCACTATAAATCTCTGTGTCCATTTTCTTTCTGCTTTTACTGCTTTCAACATCAAACACATAACCAAGAAAAATTCAAGAATATCGAAAAACCGGAAAAAGTTTCTAAAGCCTAATTCACCCTCCCCCCCAGGCATACTCTGAACCTACACATTTTTCAAACTCTTTGTCTTTTTTTTGTTTCATGGTCATAAATGACAATTAAGGTAATGTATATATAGGGGTGTGCAAAATAACCAATAACCATAAACCAAATTTCAATCCAAATTAATTCAAATTTTAAAATCCAGTCCAAATTTATATTTTAAATTTGGTGGCCCATTTATCAAATTAAAAAAAAAAGATAACTATTTGTTTCAAACCGGATTGAGATTCGGTAACCATTTTTCAATAAGCTTCAAAAACAAAAGTAGAATAGTTTGAGAAAATCAAGATCAACACCCATAGTTTGCAATAAAATTGATTTGGTTTAAAGTAGAATAAGTTTAAGGTAGATAGTTTGCAATAAGTTTAAAGTAGAATAAGTTTCACGATTAATTGATTTATATCAATTCAACGTACTTCTCGATTAATTGATTTAATTCACGATAAAAAGGAATTAGTCTAATTCCAGTTTTATATTGAATAGTTTAAAGTTTAAGATATATGGAGTGTTGATTTAATTCAATGTAAAACTGGAATAAAATTGATTAATTGATTTATATCAATTATATATTTGATAGTTTGCAATAAGGTTAAAGTAGAATAAGTTTCAGGTAGTTTATCAATTATTTGATAGTTTGCAATAAAATTGATTTTTTAAAAAAATTGGTTTTAAAACTGATTTCTTTAAAGAAAATAAAAAACTGGTTTTGAGAGAAACCGGTTTAAAATTGGTTTTTAAAAAAACTGTTTTTTTTTAAACTGGTTTGAAACCGAACCAATCCACTTGTAAACCGGTTTTAAAAAAATAAATTGGTTTTATATAAATGGTTTTAAGATCCAAACCAAACCATATATGTGGTTTGGTTTATAATCCATGCACACCTCTATCCACACTCACAGTGCTCTTTTTTTCCGACCTTTATCACAACTCGTACAAGCCATGGCCACGAGATTCGATCTGCAGCAAAATTACAATCATACAACCATTACTTCATAATCCATGAGATTCACGTCATAACCTGTACCTACACAATATGATTCACACCTGCATAAGCCATGAAGCATAACACACAAACACACCCAATAAAATTCACGTCATAACTTGTACCTACACAAACACACCCAACACATCACATCTTTTTCACACAACGCATAAAAAAGGGAAACACATGAACTGTTACAAGCCAGCCCACCCTATAAAACCGCAAAAGCATAACCTGCATAACGACGTGACGAAATCATTCTTTTTCAAAATGCAGCAACAACTTCTATTTTTCTAGCTCACAATTGATCCTTCCCATTCCACCCTCAACCTCACTTGATATAAATCTATTGTTTCTCACTCCCACGAGGTAGGTTGGAAAAACTAAAACCACTCTCCAAGTTCGTCCTCTTCTAAACCCTTAACCCTTCCAATCTCCATTCACCTTCCACCAAATTTTTTTAGCAACCAACAACAAGCTTTCACACAGACCCTTCTTCAACCCATAACACCACGACTCAACCTTTCAAATCACCCCCAAGTTGTTTCCACAATCCACATAAATCCAGAAAATCCCCTCAACCTAACCTTCTTCATTGTTTCAAAACCAGAAAGAATCAAAATAGAAGAAGAAGAGAGAGGTTCGAAATAGAAAAGGAATCAAGTTGAAGTAAGATCCAAACCTGAGTCGAATCGCGGATGAAGCATAAGCCTGAAGCAAACATAATGAGAAATAGAGTTTGAGACACTGAGATTGTGAAGCATCGAAGGTTTGAGTGAGGCTTTTCGTTGCTCTTCTTCATGATTTGTTGTTTTTAATATTTGTTATTGCTTGATTGCTTCGTTTTGGGAAAGGAAGAAATGACTTGACGAAGTTTTTTTTATTACCTTAACTTGTTTCCAAGATGAACATATTGCTATTTTTCTGAAACCGAGTTGCATTCCTAATTTGTTTCAAAAGAGGGTAATGGGTCGTTTAATTTTTGTGAAAAGTTGATGTTGTTGTTGTTATTTTCCTAAAAAAGGCCACATTTGGATTCATGTTTTGGGCTTTAAAGCCCGTTCTTGCTTCTTGCCACCCCTATTTTTTGTCAATTCATGCTTTATTTTTGTATAGGTGATGGACCTTTGATGCATATGATTCTCATTCTATACATACACCCTTTACTCACTTCACACCCCTCCTCTTTTATTTATTGTTTTTTTTTATTTCTTTGATATTTATTTTTATAATAGATTTTGATGCAAAATATTTTGAGTCCATTATTAATGTTTTGATCTTTGATTCTTCTCTTTTGATTTCCACTTTCTTTTTCATTTTCATTTTCTTTTCAATTCTTGGTCCGTGAAGTCTTTCTATTCACAAATGTTGATTGGTTGAGGTTGTTTAACCTTCGTATTTCAAATCTGTAATGAATGATCTTTTAGATCATTTTCTATACTTTAGGATCGCGATAGGTTACCTTCGATTAATCAATGCACATTTGTGATTAAGACGAGACTGTCACCTTTTCTTTTTGTGTGGCACAATTTCTTTGGAGAATGATACTCAATATCATTTCTCCATCGTGTTTTAGCACAAATATAAACTTGCACGGCCTCCTATAGTATGATCTTAGTCATAGATTGTGCTATGACGGTTTAGTGCTAAAGTCAACCCGATTCATTCAATAATCACTAACCATTAACTTTAATTTTAGTTAATATACTCTTGCATTAACATCTGTCAATATATTTTTGATTTACTTTTTCGTCAATATATCTCAAATACTATTGTTAATATTATCTTGATTATTGATATTATCTTCTCATATTTATCATATTGTCCATATCATATTCATCTAATTCATACTTTGTTCACATTATGCAAAACACACTAATAACAATCGAAACCCTAAAATCTGAACAGAACTTGTACTTTATTCAAAAACCCTAACAAAGGAAATTTCATCCGACTCTCGCTCATGGCTTAGTTTAGGACACTTTGCACACACATGGCTTCCTCTTGGGCTACCTGACAATGAACCCTTTTATTTTGTACAATCTGTGTAACTTACATGTACCCCGCTCCCATTCCGATGTACGCATTCGTATTGCTTTGATTGTGGTTTGTTTACTAGGGGCACCCTTAGGGACTAACATAGACTAAACTATTTTCAAACTAATTCTCGATTCATCGTCAAACCATTTTCAAAACACCCCTCGTAAGTTGACTGCTCGTTAGCATTCTCCATCAACCTAATGCAGACAGTCGCACATTTTGTCGTGGTTTTGTTACTAGGAGCACCCCTAGGGACTAGGATTCATTCTCACCTCTTTTCAACCAAACCCCCGACTCGTCGTCGAGCCATTTTCAAATCAACCTCTTTTAACCAACTTCTTTACACGTAAATACAATCAAACTCTTGATCCAATGTCAAATGGATTTTCACAATCAAACCCTTGATCCAACGTCAAACAGGTTTTTCATAATCAAACTTCAAAATGATTAACAACTATCAAAACTTTTTTCAAGGTGAAAAAGAGGGGGATCGAGCCTTTGATCTCTCTTCAATTATTTGGATGCGAGTTCTCTTACTCATGTGTGAGCAATTGATGCCTCTAAAACACTTCCAACTCGACAATATTCAAATTATCTTCCAACCATTCATTATTCAAAACACTTTTCAAACACAACCTCTTTTATGGATGAAGAGAGAGAGAGAGAGAGAGAGAGAGAGAGAGAGAGAGAGAGAGAGAGAGAGAGAGAGAGAGTCACGTCTTTGACTCACTTTCTCGATTACTTGAGCCCGAGGAACCTTTCTTAAGCTTCGAGTAATCATCATCCAACCAAACTTCAACATATTCCTCTTTCTTTTCGTGGTCGTCTCCATGAACTACGGACACTCTGATTCTTCATTCATTTGAATGTAAGATACGTAGGCACAAGATTGCGATGATCTTGGAGAGCATGCTTCTATCCATCTTCTGTTTCCCCTACCCTTTTCTATAGACGAACTACGAGCACCCTGATTCCTCATTCTCTTATGAATGAGCATACGTAGGCACAAGGGCCCCAATCCTTGGCGAGCACCCTATCTTGAACCACCCATTTCACCCTCGCGTCGATTCTCTTTTATCATATTGCATTTATCGTTGAGAAGAAAACAAATAAGTGTAGCTAACGTTCATCACAATTTGAATTAAGAGGTTCTTGTTGAGTACAACGAACGTGAGGGGTGCTAATACCTTCCTCTTACGTAACCGACTCCCGAACCCAGAATGTGGTTGCAACGACCATGTTCTTATATCTCTCGTCAATTTTTTCTCGATATTTTCCTTTCCCTCTTTTGGCATAAATAAATTTTAGTGGCGACTCTGTCGAACCGCATTTCGCGCCTTTCGCCTGAGGGTCTTATTTTTGATGATTTTTTAAGGTGTGACAACAGGTAGTATAGCATGGAAGCCATAGGCGCTTGAAATTGAGAATGAACATTTGTCAGTACGACACTTGTTTCTACCCCTATCTTTTTTTCTGGGAAGCCGAAATAGGTTTTTTTTTCACTCCATCAAAAGTAGTGGCAACACTTTGAATCTTACTGCTCTTTAGACAATTCTCAATTTGTTACCCCGCAATGACCAGATCTGAGAAACCGGAAGAAGCACTTCTGACCATCCTATCCAAGTAAGGCCCTTGAAGAGTACTCATGAGCATACCAATAAGCTCTCTTTCCAGCAAGGGAGGTTGAACCCTGACAACCAACTCTCTCCACCTTTGCGCATATTCTTTGAATGACTCACCGGTATTCTGAGTCAAACTTTGCAGTTGGGTCCTATTAGGAGCCATACCAGTATTGTATTGATAGTATTTAAGAAACGCTTCAGCTAACTCTCTCCATGTTCGGATATGAGTGCGTTTGAGCTGCATATACTACTCAAGAGAGGTAAGATTGATTCAAGTTGGTGTGATGATCATGATGATAGAAAGTCTACAACTGATTATATGTTTATGTTAGGTGGTGCACCAATTTCTTGGAGTTTAAGAAAGGAATCAGAAGTGGCCTTATCATCATGTGAGGCAAAGTACATTGCAACCTCACTTTATGCTTGTCAAGTTGTATGGATGGTAAACTTAATTTACGAAATTAAAGGCAAGAATCATGAAGCTATGATTATGAAAATTGACAACATGTCTACTTTCAACTTGACCAAGAGCCTAATTCCACATGAAATTAATAAGCATATAGAGATGAAGTTTCATTATCTTAGGGAGCAAGTAAGCAATGTAAAGCTTTGTACAGAACACTGCAAATGTGAAGATCAAACAGTTGACATCATGACTAAGTCATTTCAGGTAGATGTGTTCAAAAAACTTAGGAACATGATGAATGTAAAAAGCTTAAGTATAATGAATTGGGTGGCGTGTTAAATACGTAATTAATTGTTCTTTGATGTTACTTTATCAATAAGAAAGAGTAAAACAAAGGTAAAATATTTTGTTATAGCAGAATTTGTTAAGTTACTTAGTGATCACAAAACTAGTTAGGTTACTTTCTGCAGGTAACTTATGTACTATATCATGTATTCTAACATTGTAATCACTTTGAGTAGTGTAATTCATTCTCCTTCCTCTTCCAATTTTTATTTTTCTCTCAATCCTCAAGTGTGTAAAGTGTGTGAGTAATTGAATAATACTTTAGCAAACTTGTGTGTGCGCAATTGTCATACCCAAAATTTATCCACCTTTTTTTTTCTAGCTTTGATTAGCTTTTGTTTCGTTTTTATCTGCATATCATTTTTTCGCATCCTGCCAGTGTTATCAGCCGAATTGAATTTATCGAGATTACAGTCGCTTTGCTCGCAGTTTAGACGATTCAAATCAATTCAAACAAGGAGTTTCATGTCGAAGTCGAGCGAAAGTCACTCTTTCCTTGATGATTCAGTCCATGCTCATAATTTGGCGCATTTCGATGTTTGCCCGCTTTTCATTTCTATTCTCATGGCATTGTGCATTTTGTTGCTCTTTTTGTTTTAATTATTTTTTATAGACCTTTAGAATTAGTTTTTTTTATACTTTTTAGAAAATAAGATTTTAAGTTAGAAAGTTATTTTCATTTAAATATTAGAATTTTAGTTTTAAAATTAACTAGATTAGAATTTGTTTTTGGAAATATATTTTGTTAGAATTTTATTAGTTTAGATTGTTTATTTATTTATTATTGTTTATTAGAAAATAGATTTTTTTAACTAATTTAAAAATAGTTTTAGTTTAGATTTAATTTAGTATTTTTGGATTTATTTTTCATTTTTAAATAGTGTTAGAAAATAGTTTTTTATTTAATCTTTTATTAAACTCTTGTTAGAATAGATTTTATTTTAATTAATTAGGATTTTAATTTATTTTAGTTTTTAAATAGATTTTTTATTTAGGATTAATTAGCCATTTTTATTATAGTTAGTTCTTTACTAATTTGTTAGTTAATTAGGATTAGTTTTTAGGTGTATTAATTAAGTTTAGATTGATTTAACAATTAAGTTAGGATCATCTCAATTTCATTAACCAAGCTCCCTTTCAGTACAGTTTTAATATTAAAAAAAATCCAAAAGAAGTCATAAGTGCCACGTGTCATTTTTGTAGGGTATAAGACCCTATTCATCATCTCCTTTAGAAGACACAACCCTAATCCCAAGACACACAAAACCTAGCCACCGGTAACCCTAGCCACCTCCATGCTCATCCTCAACCTCCTTCCCTTTCGTGATGTTTCTCCTTCATCATTTTTCATTTTCTGAACATCATCATGTACATCACCTCAAACCCTAAACTGTAACCCTCTCATCATCTTCTTCATCCATTCATGTTCTTCTTCTTCTTCATCAAACCAGCTCAAAACCACCCCCACAAACACTACCCAAAAACCAACAACAAGAACTCTGTTTTCTCTCCTTCAACCTCCTCACAACGACAAACCCAAACTCCTTTCTCAAATCTCCTTCAAATCTTACCTAAACCCTTCATTTAAATTCCATAACCCCTTTTCTTCATCTGAAACACACGCCTTCATCACCTCCAAGTTCATTCGTAACCCCAACAAACTCAACCATTTTCCACCTTTTTTCGATTCTCTTCAAAAACCAGAACCGCGACCCTTTTAACAGCTTTTTCACCACCCCACACAACGTACGAAGCTTGACCATAACCCATGAATTTCAACCTTCCCTCCTCTCTCTCACCGCCGACTACCATCAAACCCATTCCATCAAACTTCTTCATCCCCTCTTCTGTGAAACAACCAAGGCAATCCCAAACCTTCAAACATCAACCCACTTCATCGTTCTCTCTAAACCATACCCAAAAGAGAATGAGTAAGAGAAATGGTAGATTCGAAATGAAAATAGGTGAATCCAGATTATGAAACCAACAGACCAAAATTGGGAGCGCACAGAATAAAGCGGATTGAGATCGAGCGATTGGGTATGTACATGACCAAGGTGGCGTTTTCGTCGTTTCATCGTGTTTACCATTTTTCTTCACGTGAGATTTATGGGTCAGGGTATTTTTGGACTTTGAGGATGGCTGTGTTGTCGGGACTCACCCTATTTTTATTCTTTTGATTAAAATAACCACTTTTCTATCGTATTGCCCTCTTGGAGATGATGGGCTTTATAGAGCCCAGATGATTCTCCATTTCATGTTTCACCCCCCCTATTTTCTATAAAAACCCCCCTGTCTTTTTTATTTTATTTTTAAATATAAATATTATTTTTGTAAATATATATTATTATTGTTAATTATTATGTATATATTATGTTACTGCTTTAATTTTCCTTTTATTTTATGTAACATGTTTATAATTTATATTTTAAATTATTAATTTCTTTAGAGTGTGTATATATATACTATTCTTATTTTCTATTTTCTTTTAAAAAATTTATTAGTTTCTTTAGAGTTTATTATATACAATATTATTTTAAGTTTATTTTTTTAATATAGTTTTAGAATCTCTTTTGTTATTGACATTTTTTGCCTTTTAGGTCGATAACGAGATTTCCTTCGTTTGTCCGTCAAATTGTTGACGAGAAACGATAGATCTAAGACCCACTACTTTCCATCTCGTATTTTTTATTACAATTTTTATTTTCGAACCGATGAAGTCTCTGATTCTTCAAATGTTAATTCTCGAGCATGTTGAAACCTTCGTCATTTCAAATCTAAGGAGAATGACCATTTAGGTCATTTTCCTTACTTTGAGATCGCGAGAGGTTCCCTTCGATTAAATTAACTTGAAGTTTGCGATTAAGACGAGGTTTGAGTTTTCTTGACTTCCTCCATTTCACCGATTACTAACTCCCAACTTTAATTTTCTGTCAATAATTCATTGTTATATTTCCGCACATATTTTTCTGTTTATATTTTTATTGACTTTATCTTGTTCATATTATCATCATTGTTCATATTATCATCACTGTTCATATTTCATACTGTCATATTGTGCATATTGTCATCTAACCCCCTTTTATTTGTACACTCTTTTTAAAAAAACTTAATAAATATCAAAACCATAAAATCCTAATTGGTGGACTATTGGTTATCTGTATCCTGTGTATATCTGTCTCCGTTTTTCATCTCTTTGGCAGGTTCTCAAAAATCCCTTCAATAAACGAATCAAGTTCTCTTTGTATTGAACTAAAGAGAGAGGATTAAGTGTAGACTTTTTCCTCTCCGAGTGTCGAGATGCTCACTGTAGTGTGGGTGGTTTTGATACTCGTCTTTCAATATGAAGACACTTGTATTCTCCACACCTTCTCTCCTAAAACCTCGGTCCCGCACCGAGTGCATTTTCAAACCTTTTTCTCCTAAAAAACCTCGGTCTCATACCGAGTGCATTTTCCAGTTTCCTTCAATTAGAAAATCGAGCTCTCTTTGTATTGAACTAAAAAGAGAGGATTGAGTGTAGACTTCTTCCTCTCCGAGTGTCGAGATGCTCACTGTAGTGTGAGTGGTTTCGATACTCGTCTTTCAATACGAAGACGCTACGTTCACCACAACTCTTTTCATAACTTCTTTCCGCAACCTTTTTCCCTAAAAACCTATGTCCTGTACCGAGTGCATTTTAAAATTCATTTCACAATAAAACTTGAATGGTCGTGGAGTGGTTAGGCATATGCCTTCTCCTATTCTGAGTGCTTGACATTTACCGTAGGGTTTACCATCGCAAAACACTTACCATTCAAAACCAAAAATATCTTTTATAAAAGAGAATGAAGTTCTCTTTGTATTGAATTAAATAGAGAGGATTGAGTGTAGACTTCTTCCTCTCCGAGTGTCGAGATGTTCACTGTAGTGTGTGTGGTCTTAATACTCGTCTTTCAATACGAAGATGCTATGTTCACCATACCATTTTCATAACAAAAACTTTGAGGTAAAGAATTGGGTACTACCCGCATGGGGTTACTATCCGAGGATATATCTCACCCCTAAAAACAATCTTACCAATCAAACGTAAATTCTTGCCTCGCATGGCGAAAATCTCTCTTCCAAAAAGGATATGTTACGTCCGTTCTACCGCAAACAGGTAACGCCTAAGTCTCCAAACGAGCGAGCAGCAATACACCTAAACTGCTAGAATGCGCACGATAGCATCATCCACAAAAACATTAACAAACCGTAGGCCGAACTTCGGCTGATTCTTTACTTCTTGTAAGTAAAGATACGTAGGCACGAGGGCCTCAATCCTCGCCGAGCACACTTCTATCTTTTACCCGTGGTTCCCCGAACTACATTGACTCTGACTTTCTCATATCTATTGAGAATACGTAGTCCTAGGACCGCGAAGTCCTATCGAGTCCTTTCTTCCCCCGTTACCTCTCTTTCCCTTGTTTCTAAACCTTTTCTCTCTCCTCTAGGAACACTCATAAAAAGCAGTA